TGTGTACCCCATCTGGCAATGTCCACGTGTATGGCTGCTGTTTGTGTTGTTGAAAAAAGGTATTTTCAATGAATAAATTGTTGGTCTTGCAAATTCTATCATGCGATCTCCAGTGTTGTTTCTCTCACCAAGGCCAAATTTTCCAACTACCGGTGATTCTTCTTCATTTCCAACTTTTGTATTCCAGTCATCAGTGATAATTAATCTTGATTGCATGTTTGGTCGATTTCAGACTGCAGAAGTTGATAAAAATCTTCAATTTCCTCATCTTTGGCTTTGGTGGTTGGTGTGTAAATTTGAATAATTGTTACATTAACTGTTCTTCCGTGTAGGCATATGGATATTTATCTGTCACTGAAAGCATTGGACTTCAGAACAGATCTTGAAACTTCCTTTGTGATGATGAATGCCATGCCATTCCTCTTCAAATTGTCTTTCCTGGCATAGTAGATCGTATGGTTGTCTGATTCAAAATGGCTAAAACCTATCCATTTCAGCTCACTAATGCCTAGGATATCAATCTTTATGAGTTCCATATCATTTTTGACAACTTCCATTTTTTCTGGATTCATCTTTCATACATTCCATTTTCCAGTTATTAATGGATATTTTCAGCTATTTCTCCTCAATTTGAGTCATGCCACGCCAGCAAATGGAAGTCCCTAAAGCTTTACTTTATCCATATCATTAAAGTTGGTTCTACTCTGATGATGCAGCTCTTTCCCAGTCATGTTTTAGGTGCCTTCCAACATAAGTGGCTCATCTTCCTGCACTATATCAGACAATGTTTCCAGGATATTCATAAAGATGCCCAGTAATGTATCAGACAGTATTTCTCTGCTAATCATAAGGTTTTTCCTGGCCAATTCTTTGAGAAGTGGATGGCCTCCTCCTTCTTTTTATTCTGTCTCAGTCTGTAAGCTGTGTTGAAACCTGTGCACCATGAGCAACCCTGTTGGTGATTGAAACACCAGTGGCATAGCCTCAAGCCTCACAGTAACACACAAGCCAACACAGACAAGTTTGTCTCCCTTAGCTGTTAGACATCTCTGTGCCCTCCCCATACTAATTTCTACATGAATCCTGTTGGTGGGTCCTGCTTGCTGCCCCTTACTTGGCTCCTGCTGCTTTTTTAAGGTATACTTTAAGGTATATTGTAAATCTACCTTAAAATTTAGGCTGTCTCTCTCTCTCTAAGTCAAGAATTGAAATCAATTAAAGTTTGACCACAAAATGGTCAAATGGTGGCTTATTGTAAATATACCTTAAAATTTCTTGCAACCCAACTACAGGAAGTATAGTCAGACCTCATCAATCTAGAAATTCATCAAAAATATATTTTCTTTCACTTTCAATTTTAATTCAACATGTGCGTAGCTGCATTTCCTCTTATTCTCCACAGATAGGCTTTCTATGTTTACATATCGTGATTACATGGTTAGAAATGATGATCACCCCTGAATCCTATCTTCAGCAGTCTCTATATCTTTTCCATCTCCTCTTGCCACAGATGTAGTCCATCTGATTCTTTTTTTATTTTTATTTTAAGAGCTTGTTTTACATTCAATGTCACATGTACGTTTAGTTTCATTCCCCATTTGCCTTGTCCAACCCTAACCCAGTCTCCTCCCCTCCCTACCCTGCA